GCTGCGGGGGGAGGGCGAGCCGGCGGAGAACAGGAAGCGATCGCCCTACCCGCGACGGCTGGGGGCTGACACGGGTTCAGTCAGAGCGGCGAAGGGACTTGGGTGTTTTCCCATCACGCCGGAGCCGCCTGTCGCGACTGGGGTTTGCCTTAGGGGGGAAGGGGCGGGGGGGGCTGGTCCTGAGCCGGGAAAGGGGCCTCCGGCACGGCTGGAGCGCCGCCCTTCAGTGCCGCCTGCTCCCGTGGGTCGGCGGCGTGACACGCGTGCCGGGAGCGTGTCTGAAAAACACGCTGGAAACGGTGACGAAGAAACGCCGTGGGTTTGTTTTCTGGGAATATCGAGGTCTGTCCTTGCTCCAAACCGTCCGTCCGCGCTTTGAACGCAAGCCACTGAGACTGTACAGGCGACGGATGCGCGTCCTGGAAAGGATAGCTCCAAGATGAACGCTCACCAACTAGCATCTAACGCAAGGATTCCCAAAACTTCCCTTCGTAAGGGGGTAAAAAGTTCGAGGAGAGGACCTGGTCCCACCAGGGAGAGTCGGAAGACCTTTTACAGGCTTCTGAAATTCCCTGGGTTGCGTTAAAGAGATGGAGTAGTTCAGCGACGCTGTTGGGATGCTTTTTCTGTACTGGGATCGTGAGAGAAGGCGAAGGCACTTCCCTTGGCTAGCGAGGATGGAAAACGCGAGGATGGAGCGCCTCAAGCCGTCCTGAACGCGGCGAGGTGGCTGGGGCACCCGTGGCTGCTCGGGCGCATCCGTCCCTCCCTGCCACCCCTGTAAAAACAGAGAGAACGAGAGTGGGAAACGTCCACAGCCTCCGTCTCGCATCTCTCCCGAGCCCCTGTGACCAGCCCTCCTGAGCAGAAGTTGTTGCTGTCATCAGTTTATCCTCTCTTGCCGTGTTTCCTTTCCCTCGTGTCCTTCGCACGCCGTCTGCCCCTTCTATTTGTAGGGATTTTCTGCTGGGAAAGACAGGCACGGGAAAGAAATGCAACTAGTGGAAAGGTTCGTTATTAAAATCTTAAGAACGCGCTTTAACTGTGGTGTTTGTACGGTTTGGGCAGAACTGGTGTCTTTACAGTGCAGCGGCTGATGATTCTCGTTGGAATAAATGCACGGTTTAATTTGTGGATTTTAGTGTACTTAAACCGATATTGGAGCGATTGGCTTGTAAGCTGTAATTTGATCGTTTCCTTCGCTTCGTACAGCGTGGTTTAATTTGTGGATTTTAGTGTACTTAAACCGATATTGGAGCGATTGGCTTGTAAGCTGTAATTTGATCATGATTTCCTTCACTTCGTACAGCGTGAGAAATGGCTCTTTTCACGTTCGTGGTGTGTCTTTGGGTATCCCGTCACACAGAGCTGCCGGGCAGCATTTAACGAACGTGCTGCGGTTGTTAAAGAGGATGTATCCGGTACGTAGGAGGATGTTCATGGTCCTTAGGATACCTGGTGTTGCTAACTGGGGTGTTTGTAAAGCTCACCCCTTTTGAAGACGCGCACCCTGAGGCTGCGCTGTGCGCTCTCTCTTAGTCGGCCGTAAATCTGTTCCTCTGAAAGGGGTAGTTTTTCATTCCCTTCTCCCTGATTCTTTCTTTTTTTCCTTTTCTTCCCTTGGTGATAATATTCCTGTACCTTCTTGGCCACCCAGATCAGGGCTCTGAGCTGCCTGAGAGGTCTGCGTGTTGCGGTGGTGGTTTATCAGCTGTTCAGTTTCATGATTACAGGGTGTGTTGGGGATTTTTTTTTTTTCCCCCTGGTCCCAGAGTGTCGCATGGGATGTGACGCTAAGACCAAGATGGGCAGTCCTGTCTGCTTCCCGTTCCCTCCCTTACACCGGCGTTCCAGCTCACGCGGCTGTGATAGGAGTGGGACCTACCTTTGCTCCCAGCCGGAGCGGTGCTGGTGCCCGGCAGGATGGACCCGTGTGTTGCTGACGCGGGAGGAGGAGGGAGGCGTATCTGGGTCTGGGGGCTGGTAACTGCGCGGGATTTGGGTCGCCTTTGAGGAGTGCAAAACCACCGCCGGAGTTTTCGGGGGTTTGGTGCTGACGCAGCTGTGTGGTGGCCTTGCGCGCTGGGAATGGCAAGCGCCAGGAGCTACGGGGTTACCCTCTGGCTGTAGCCCCGCGGCACGGGAAGCTGGAAGTGCCTGTGTGACCGTGACCTCGGAGACCAGCTTGCTGAGCCTGCTCGCCTCTGCTCTGGGCCAAAACTAACATTTCTGTAGGCTGTAAATGTGAGGGGAGGAGGCTCCAGGGAGAACTTGTTGCAGCCTTCCAGTACCTGGGAGGGGACTTTTTACAAGGGGCTGGTAGTGACAGGACAGGGGGTAACGGGTTTAGACTGGAAGTGAGGAGGTTCTTCCCGCAGAGGGTGGTGAGGCACTGGGACAGGTTGCCCAGAGAAGCTGTGGATGCCCCATCCCTGGAAGTGTCCAAGGCCAGGCTGGATGAGGCTTGGAGCAACCTGGTCTAGTGGAAGGTGTCCCTGCCCATGGCAGGGGGGTTGGAACTGGATGGGCTTTAAGGTCCCTTCCAACCCAAACCGTTCCATGATTCTATGAACCATTCCGTATTTCCAATAACAGTGTATATTATTATTCATTTATTAACACAGGTACCTTGTGCAAGGGGGACGTTGTGTGATGTAATGACTGCTTGCCGTGGGTTAAACCCGAGCCTTTGTGTTTGCTCTGGTGCAAACATCTCAGTTACGGCTTTTGCCCTTTCTTCAGTCAAAGTGACTGTTGCTGAATCCAGGCTGCCCTGAAATGCTTTAACACAAAATAAGCAAAAACCCAAAAAGCGATAGATCGTCTAAGCGTATCATTAAAATTGATTTTTTTAATAATTATTTTGATGGTTTAGTTGTACCTAAATCAGTACGGAAAACACACTTCATCTGTTTTTAAAATGGAAACGTTTTCATTGGCTGGCTCTGAAATAGGTTTTAAATTTTTTCTCCCTCAATTCTTGTTAAAATTTATGTGGTGGGAAGCACTTTAAAAATTGAGAAAACGAAGCAGAATTAGTGTAACTCAACGCCACACACTTCTGTTTCTGTTGCATAACATGATGGAAGTGGCAGTTCTTCGTTGACTTTCACAAGAAAATGAGATGTTCCTACTTGCACCGCAATCCTAAAAGCTGCAGTTTTTATGGGTATGAGTAGTTTTCCAGGGTGTCTGGTAGATAGTTGATAGAGAGCTATCCTGCTGTGTGGCAGCCTGCTTCCAAGGTGATGCAACTGACTTCTAAGATGTTGAAATTAAGAAGCGCTTGTCGTTATAGCGGGGAGGGGAGGAGGATCTTTGGGGATGTTTATAACTGAACTTTTCTAAACATGGGAATTTATTTTAACCACCCACTGATACTCAAGGTTCTTGTTTCCCATTTGTACTCCAGGGCATTTCCACAAGCCTTCGGACTGTAAAATAAAGAAAAATAGAGACAAAAATTTCAATGTAGTTGGATGAATCGTGTTTCTAGCAAGGAGACTTGGCTTTTTATTTTTCCATCCTGACGAGGAGGGGCTGGAAGCGTTGTGTTCTGCGTGTAGGGTGTACCCTATGTCCCCATCTGACTTGGAAGAAACTTGTTTATGATTTCTCCGTGTAGCTAGAACTTCCCGTGCTATCTGAGGATGCGTTAGATGTATAGGAGGATGTTAAAGGGTAAAGTTGCAGCTTGGAACTCCATTGATTTGTGTGTAAAAGCTTGTCTCTCTGTGGAGTTATTTATTCATCGATGCCATATCTGAGGATGCGTTAGATGTATAGGAGGATGTTAAAGGGTAAAGTTGCAGCTTGGAACTCCATTGATTTGTGTGTAAAAGCTTGTCTCTGGAGTTACTTCTTCGTCGATGCCACTGACTGTACCTATAGATGGCTGCTTTTCCTGTAGAAGTACTTCTCTGCGGCCCTTATACATACCACTGAAGGAGCATTGATCGGATAACGAGGTGCTTTCCCACAGGACTAGACGTGTGCACATGGCATTAACCAGGAATAGCTGTTTAAATTTGTGTTCTTCCTTGCTTTTGAAAATTCATGTGTATCAGATAAATATTTTGCTCTTGCTTTCCTTGGCCAAAGAGGTAGAAAATTCAGAATAACTGAAACAGACCTTGAAAGCGGTGCTCTGCAGACCTGCAAAGCAGACGAGATGTAAGCACGGATAGGTGCTTTGGCTGAATGTTAGGAGTCTGATGTGGATAAGTTTTTGGGTTTGTCTATACAGTAATTACGGGCTTATTTGCATTTTAACTGGACTGTGTTATCATAGAATAATGGAATGGTTTGGGTTGGAAGGGACCTTAAAGCCCATCCAGTTCCAACCCCCCTGCCATGGGCAGGGACACCTTCCACTAGACCAGGTTGCTCCAAGCCTCATCCAGCCTGGCCTTGAACACTTCCAGGGATGGGGCATCCACAGCTTCTCTGGGCAAGTTAAAAGGTTGATAGAGCAGCACATGTGGGATACATCCTACAGAGTCGTGGCTGGCTGGCTTCACATGACTGGATTTCAGGGGCTGGCTGGAAGGGTGGTCAGCGGTCAGCGCTGCTGGTAACGGCCATCGCGTGTGCATCCCGAGGAAGGAGTAGACTCAGTGGTACGGCCCTTGGGAAAATACTTGTGAAACACTTTCTCGTTTCATTAGCGCTGGCAGTGCTGCCTTAAGCGGGGTCTGGCACTCGGTTCTCTGGCTCATGGTTCCTCAGCCTGTGGTCGCTGTGCATACTGCTTAGAGTCGGAAACCGGGAAGGCATGAAGTCCTGTCTAGTCAGGGCAAAGACACAAGCGTACGCGGGGCTGCGTAACTCTTTGCATTCATAAAATTGGGACAGTACGAAGTTGTCCTGTCACCGGGTGCTGTAAGGATGAGTTACTTGTTTGATCCCTGCATGACCCTGTTAGCATGACCCGTAACAGAGCTGTAAGACGTGGTGATGCTCGAGTCCTGTTACTGACCTTTATCTTCTTTAAGGTGTGTTTTGACTGCGGAGCCAAGAACCCGAGCTGGGCAAGCATAACCTACGGAGTGTTTCTCTGTATTGATTGTTCAGGGACCCATCGATCGCTTGGTGTTCATTTGAGTTTCATTCGGTAAGTAGTTTGCGTATTTTTATACTAAAAATTGCATCTTTCAATGTGTTCGTTTGTTTGTTCAGATACCCTTTAGAGGGGAAAACCCATTCTTCTCTCAGCCACTGATTCAGACCTTTTTAATGTTTGTATTGGCTTTGGAGTATCTGGGAGCTGCTTGGGAATTAGGTAAATAGGTAGGATTCAGTAGAATTCGTACCACGCACCCATTCCCGTTGCCTGCTTGTTGTGTTAGTGCGCACTTGTGGGCAGGCCTGTTCCTACGCTGAAGGGGATGGAAATGAAGGATGGAGTAGGCATGTTGAGGTGTCTTACCATTCCTCCAGATCAAGACTGATGCAGATATTCATTTATCATCTTCAGCAGTGTTAGCGTGTTGGTCGTAAAGATAATCTGAGCTCCTAGCAAGCCAGCTCAGAGCGCTAAATAGCGTTTTCCCAGCTTTGCTTCCCAAAGTAGTTCATTATGGTGTCCCTGGGTGTTAGTACTGGGGTGGCGTAAAGGGCTACCCCTTTTGGAAGCTGTTTAGCTCAGTCAACCAGTTGGTGCAGTAAATCTTCACCCTGAGCTTGCCGTGTTTTGGGTGAGTGAAATTCTTCAGAAATTTCTCTGAAATTTCTTCTGAGAAATTCTTCACAGAGAGGGTGGGGAGGCACTGGGACAGGTTGCCCAGAGAAGCTGTGGATGCCCCATCCCTGGATGTCTTCAAGGCCAGGCTGGATGTGGCTCTGAGCAACCTGGTCTAGTGGAAGGTGTCCCTGCCCATGGCAGGGGGGTTGGAACTGGATGGGCTTTAAGGTCCCTTCCAACCCAAACCATTCTATGAGTGTCTAAACTGACGGCCCGTGGGCCTTTTTTGGCTAATAAATAATCACAGATTTGAAATGTAAGGTTCCGCTTGAAGTGAGCGAGAGCAATGCATCCAAGAGTGGATTGCAGATAAAAGCAGCTGTTTTCCATCAACTAAAATTCTTCCTCTGCTGCCTTTTTGCTGTATACAAGAGTGTTACAAGAGGCCTCTCAAGCATCCGTTCCCAATGATAACACTATTAACTCTCCTTGTACTCTGAGCCCCGAGATTTTGTTGTGATGCGACATTCAGATCGTCACTTTGTCTGTTACATGTGATTGTCATGTGCTGTTGGCAGAGTTCAAATGTGATTCCTGAAAATGTGTCTTACTGGCTCTTTCTAAAAGGGAAAACCTGTCAATCAGAGGCTGCATTTTTTTCAAGCTTTTGCTGTGGCCATTCTACATGGCTTTAGTAATTTGTTTTGCATATTGTGTATTGTTGCAGATATTTTTCTTCTCTAGATGCATGTTTTTCACTTTACAAAAAGAAGAGGGAGAGAGAAGCACTTTACAAAAAAGCAATAAAAAAAGAGGTAGAGGGATTTGAAACAGCTTTGGAGATAACTTAAAAATGTTTCCTTCTGTTTAGATCTACAGAACTGGATTCCAATTGGTCTTGGTTTCAGCTGAGATGCATGCAAGTTGGAGGAAATGCAAACGCTGTATGTACTCTGAGTATGTCCTCTGCACACTGAAGCTTGGAAGCTATTGTCTGTCCTTATTGGCTCACATCTTTGGGATATTTTTATTTTTCCAGTCTATTTCTCTTTCTCTTTTTTTCTTTTAATTTTTTTCTTATACCCTCTTGTTTTTAAGAATTCCTTTTAATCCTGATTTCACCCTCCATACTTCTTGCAACTTTTCCATCTTGGCATAATCTGCAAATGTTATTTTTTTTTTTTCTTAGAATCACAGAATGGTTTGGGTTGGAAGGGACCTTAAAGACCATCTAGTTCCAACCCCCCTGCCGTGGGCAGGGACACCTTCCACTAGACCAGGTTGCTCCAAGCCTCATCCAGCCTGGCCTTGGACACTTCCAGGGATGGGGCATCCACCAGTTGACTTCTTACAAGTCATTAATAAGAATCACTGATAAGGCCAGATCAGATTCCCTGTCAATATGTGTCTGAGGTAAGAGGGAAGCATTGACTCCTAAGCCTCGCTTATGGGCATCTTCCTGTGACCATGTCTCCCTACGTAGTCTATGGAAATATCATGCTCAGTGCCAAAAGTGACACTGAAGTCACAATGTCATTTATACCTGAGTCAAGACGTGCTGTGCTGTCAGAGGGGAAGTAGCAGTGATTTGGTTTGGGCCAACTCAGACTGGCTTCTACTTTCAACTCGATTTTTTAATGTACTTACAAATAAGTTTGTTACACAGGATTTTTGTAAATTGAAGGTATGTTCACTAGTGTATTGTTCTCAATCACCTTTTTAGAAAGAGGACATTTTCCTTTGTCAGCTCTTTTGGAATCTTGCCTGTTTTCCCATGTTTTTTAAAAGATTGTCCAGCAGTAACTGAGATGGCTGCCCTAAGTTGACCTACCCAGTGTGGAAATGTGCAGCTTCCCTAAGGGATTTCACTGTTCTTCTAATTCCCTGAATGCT